CTATTTTGCTATTAAGTAAAAGCTACCCCTGAGTCACTCTGTGTGGGGCTGGTGGTGAGGGTGGCGGGTTGCAGACCATAGAGGTGCTAGAGGTCCTTTTTTTTTTTTTGCGCTTTGTCCACTCTGGTTGTATGTGCCTCATATATAAGATTGAACTGTGAGGGTGATGATGTTCTTAGTAAATGGTGTCATAATTCATTTCCCTCTTGTACTGTGCAGTATTGTGTTGAAGGGAGTGGCAGGGGGTGGGGACATAATAGTCATCTCTGTCTGGTTGTATTATTCTGGGCATCTTGTGAATGTGGTAATTTAAACAAATAGAAATTAGGCTGTCGGACAAGACTGGTTATCAGTATGTTCCTACCACACCTCGAACTAGCAGTGGGGTCATAATAATGACAGTTTGACGTAATCCTGAAGTGAATGGGAAAGAAAAAAGATGGTGACCTTTGGTCTGTTAGAGTGGGTAATACAAGGGTCCTCATTATAAGTGCTTAATGAGAAAAAAGCCACTGATAATGAAACCACTTGTAAAGGGGAATTGATTCCCATAAGAATTAATAGGAATAGTGTCTAATCAGGACCATCACATTGTTAGTAACACTCATAAAGTTTAATTTGTTATCTTTAACAGTTATATACACCTTAGAAATATTTGTTAAACATTTGATTACACATTATTTTATAAAATTATTTAACTTTATAACTTATTTAAGGTACTTAAAGTCATTTGGGGTCGGTGTGTTGATGTGACATAAGCTACCGAACCATGCATTCGCACACTCATTTCAGTGAAAGTGGTTCATTGAGACACACTCACCACTTTTCTTACGACATATAACTTATAATTTCATGTCCATCCCATAGCTACTACGCTTCCTTTTAACCACTACCCCACCTTGCTTCCACAACAGAATTAGTCCACCAATATCACCAATGACACAACAAAGTTGATAATTATAATTCTTGGAGCACTTCAAAATAATACCTGTGGATACAGGTGACTGGTATTAAGAATGCATAGCGCAGGTGAGAAGGATGTCCTTTACGAGAATAGGAGGTGGGTGGGAATTTCAATCGCTCCAACGCTTGTGCTTTTAAAGACTGACTGATTTCAGCCTTAGAATCTTCTTATCTTTTGGGACTTTTTATGTGGAGGTACTCAATTATTTGTACAGGACCCCCTGTACAACCGAAGAAGCCATTGTGCATAAATTGGATATAGATGTTGAGCTGTTGGTTGTTAAAGAAGGTATAATTGGTTGAGACAGATAGTATTCTCCACTTATGAAAGAATCTACAGTATTTAAAGATTTTATTGATGCAAAAGATGTGAAGTTTGACAAGTTGTTGATAAAGAGGGAATTTTTTTTTATACAATTAATGAACAAGGGCCATGAAAATTGATAATGTATGTACACGTACTGTACTGTACTGTATAGTGTATGCATGTAAGTCTGTTGAATCCTAGGAAGGATAGAATTGTGGGGAAAATTACTGAGAAGTAGTGACTGAACAAAAACTTCTTTTAGTGAACCAGTCAGGATTGATATTCATTAAACTAACTAGCTTGTGCAGCTAAAACTAGAACATTGAATTTATTGGACATGGATTCACTAGTGTGCACATTGTCCACAAAGTTAAGTGAGCTAGATGAAAAGGCTTATAAAAAATTAAGCAAAGTCAGAAGGTGCTAAAATGTAGGGCATTGTGGGCTACTTTTGATGTGATGCTGTATTGCTTATCAAGATGCATGTGCATGTAACATTTCGTGAATGAGTAAGTGCTAGTGAGGTATGAGAAAAGTTGGCTCATATGGAGGTTTGGATGGAGAGACAAGGGTAACTGTATGCTCCTTACAAATTCTTTGCCATCTAGAAATTTTTTTATTGTATTGTTTAAGATTGGCTTTAATATGGTTAATGTGTCATATCAGTTTGAAATTGTTTTCATACAATTCTTGGGGCTTGTGTCTGTATTGTAAGTATTTAGAGTGTGCCACTGGGACTAAAATATCATTATCATGCAAACTCTGAAACTGTCAACTTAAACATGAACAAAAACACAGGTATATTGGGGCCATAAACAGATTTACCTCAACCTTGCTCCCCAAATTTGGAAATAGTGTGTTGAGTAATAATATTATCTCTAAGATACCTTTAACTTCATAGAAACTAATATACTGTACTACAGTATTAATTATCTATGATTTGAAAACTAGCAAGCCCTGTGACTTAAAATTTAATTACACAGAAACTGATATTTAATTTTCCATTACACAGATGCTAACACAATAGGCTCTACTTTTATGTCACAGAAGCTAATATTTATAGATTTTTATGTGATGAAAGATATTTTGTCTTATGTAAAATGAAAGTCATTAAAACAGGATACAGACTGAGGCCAAATGCTGAGTAACACTAGAAAATTATCACAATAAATATACTGGACAGTATGTGTGTTAAACATTCATGAACAGAGACTGACCTGCCATGTTACTGTTAGGTCACCTGTGAGTCTCTATCTCATTGTACTGTATATCAGGAATTGCTTCCAACAATGTAGCATTATTCATTGTGTCCATAAGTCTTCTGTTTGACATTTCATAACAGTACACCCACTACACCTTCTCTTGATGGACAATCGTGACCCCCCCCCCCCCTCCATTTATTTTACCATGCCCAGAATGGAGTGGGATGGGGTTGTCTTCTGCCATATGATGAAAAATAGGGCCACTATTTACCATGTGATCTTGGGCTTTGTAACCATCTGTTATCCAGACTTATATAGATTTGAGTAAATCCCCTTGTTAAGTAACCCCCATTGAGAAGTCCTGGATTCACCTCTGATTATCATATGAGGCGTTCAGTTGGAGAAGAGCGATCTGGCTACTCTCCCGAAAAAAAACATTTTCTCTGGTACCAGAAAATTTCATCCATTCTCTGTGTGATGGTAAGGTCTCCAGAGTGGAAGTTCGCCATTATCCACATATAAATTACCATTAGTTATGAGGGGTGAAATGGATGTGTGACTCCATAGAAAAAGGAAAACAGCAATTACTTAAAACATTGACTTGGCTAGTTCACCCTTATCATACTACAGGTGCTCCCCGACTTACGACGGGGTTAGGGACCCAAATCCAGGTCGTAAGTCCGACTGGTCGTAAGTCTGACATAGATAAAAGAAAACTTTAAAAAAAAAATTTCCTCCAAAAAATAAAAAATCTACAATGAAATACAGTACAGTAAAAGTAATGAATAATGAGGAATGGATAAAGTGTGACTGAGCACTTACCTTTAATGTAGTCAGCTGAATGCACACGGGGCCCCCATAATTTTCTATTTACAGGATACATGGAGACTATATTAATTGGATGAAGCAGAGGAGGAGACAGGGCTGGGTGGGTCAGCAATGTCGCTTTCTTCAGACAGGTTTATGTACTGTGGAAACTTGCTGGTTGAAGGTATTGGATCATCTTGAGGGAGTGAAGAGGCAGCACTGGTGGGGCGTGAGGAGACAGCACTGGGGGACTTCTTAAAATAGATGTCCAATTTAGACTGCACAGTTTCATTATAAATTTTTCGGTAGCAAGCAAGTGCATCTTGGATCATTCTGTCAACTTTGGCATAACGCTCATAATTTTGATCCATGCCATCAAACATTTGCATTCCTTTATTAATTGTAGCAAATGCCTCTGCCATTTTTTTCATTGAAGACTTTTTGAGGGGTGCAGGTTCTTCTTCTACATTTTGTCTCTCTTCTTCCTCTGCAATTTTCTGTGCATCTAGTTCAATAAGATCCTCGTTACTGAGCTCTTCTGCTACACTTTCAACCAACTGTCCAACATCTTCATTATCAATTTCTAACTCCAGCTGTTTACCTAACTCCACTATCTTGTTACTAATATCCGATATAACTTCATTTTCATTAAATCCTTTGAAACTGTTCGCATATCTTTTTAGGATTTTCTTCCATATTCCATTCATGCAATGTTTTGTAACCTGATCCCATGCTGCACTAATGTTCTTTATACATGACAAAACGTTGTACTCCTTCCAAAACTTTCTGAGCGTTTTCTCACCTTCAGTAGCAGCAACAGCCTGAGCGAAGGTCGTGCGTAAATAATACGCTTTAAAGGCAGCAATAGCACCTTGATCCATGGGTTGGATGATAGAGGTAGTGTTAGGTGGAATGTAGACTACCTTAACATCAGGGTGCATGTTGTCCAGGTGTGGTGGGTGTCCCGGAGCATTATCCAAAATCAGCAAAATCTTGAATGGAATCCGTTGTTGCAGACAATACTCTTATTACTGCGATAAAACACTGGCAGTGTGTGCTTGCTGACATGTCCTTGAATGCCTTGAATCCTGGCATTGTTTTCGCCTCTTTGTGGATGTATGTCTGCTCAGGCATGCGCTTCCACAATAATCCAGTCTCATCCACGTTGAATATTTGCTCAGGCAAATAATTCCCTTCCACAATCACATCATCTAACTCTTCCTTAAAAGCTTCGGCAGCACCAACATCGGTACTAGCTGCCTCTCCACTCACCTTAACATTGTGTAGACTGTAGCGTTTTTTAAATCTATCAAACCACCCATGACTTCCTGTAAAGGTTTGATCACATTCATCTCCTGCCTGCTCCTTCAGGCTTTGGAACAGGCTTCTTGCTTTATCCTGTATGGTTAGAAGGCTTAAGGGTACACGCTTTTGTATCTGGTCTTCTATCCATATCACTAATAACTTTTCCATATCGTGAATAGGACCTTGTCTTTTCTTTGATATTTTAGTTCGCTTTATTGGTGTTGTTCCTTTCACTACATCACGAATACGTTCCTTGTCCTTCAGAATAGTGGATATAGTCGAGTGTGAGAAACCTAGGTCGCGTGAAATTGTTGCTACAGTTTTTCCATTCTCATGCTGTGTTATTATCTTCATTTTCATATCAGAAGTAATTGCCTGTCTCCTTTTCTTTGGAGCACCACCAGCACTCTCACTTTTATGCATTCCAGTCATTATAAAGTCAATTAAATACGATAATAACGAAAGTTCACAGCGTGATCAGTATAGGATATGATAGCCAAACACCAACTAAGCGCTCCACTGAGTGAGTGTACCCACGCGGTGGCGACCCGAGCCGCACCACGCTCTCGCCCGAGACGGAAACGTTTTGGTATAGAAAATGCGCGCGTCATTTGAAAATATTTTTGGTCACGACTGCCGCGGTCGTAAGGTCAGAGCAGGTCGTAAGTACCGATGGACGTAAGTCCAAGCAGTCGTAAGTAGGGGAGCACCTGTATATGCCTCATAAATAATGGGAAACCAATATATTTATTGCAGGTACTGTAGTTAATGATGCCAACTTAATGTATTAAAGTGATATTCCAGAATTGAATTTGGAAAGATCAATACGGTATTTTAGCACTAAGAATTCATTTCTTGAGAAACTGATTTGCTACAATGTTGAAAGGTTTCCAATTGTTCCAGTATAAATTTTAAAAGTAATTGTCAATGCATCTTGGTAAAGGGTTTAAACCAGTCAAAAAAAATCCTATATCCTTCTAATATAATTTTTCTTTTTCATGGGACGATAGAGGGCGCACTAGGTACTATATCTGAGAGTAAGTGTATTTTTTTGCTGTTTTCATCATTTCTAGTGAATGAATATGGCATTAATACTGTACCACTGGTAAAGGGTTTTAGAATATCTTCAGCCTCCCAAAAACTTGATGCCAAATATTGTATGGTAAAGGGATACGTCAAAGATGGTGTCAGGCGGGCACTGTACTGCATGCTTCTTTAATAGTTTCTGTATGTTGCTTCATTGCCATAGTACCTTATTATGAATTATGTAAGTTACCCCTCTGTAATGTACTGATATTGTATTTCTACTGAATTTAGCTTGACTCACACTACCTAATATTATTGTCATATTTGTCTCTTTTGACATGCATGATGATAGTACAGTACTGCATTATTTAATTCGGAAATAATGCTCTTGAAATTTAGCTGCTGCAATTGCTTATATGTACTGTGTGTTTTTAAGCTGACTGAAATAAACAACAGTTGTGTTGATTGTATTATTGTATTTCTTCTTCACACCCCATCAGTGGTGGGACCACCATCAGCAGTGACCTAACAAACTTAGGGAGATTCAAGCGAGATGATAGAGTGGTACCAGACTTCCCTACCATCTACCAGGCGCTCTTCAACAAGCCTCAGGTGCCCACGTCCAACCACATGTTTCTCGTCAAGCTTCCAAAGCAGCCTACAAGAAAAGAAGTTACCTAAAATGTAGGAAATCTGCTAAAGTCCTTAATGACTGGGAATATTTACCCATCATGGACTTGACCATAAAGAATAAACTTGCTTGGTTTCATTGATGATAAAATAATCAGAAGTAGGTTTTTTATACAGTAGTTTGTGATGAACCAAAGGAAGAAAATTATACAGGATAAGTAGTGCATTGGCAACTGAGTAAGGGAAAAAAATTCATTTTGTATTATGTAGAACAGTAACCACCTGAGTGATCACTTATAAGGACAGCAAATCTTTAACATTAAGTGACCTGTATTGTATTCAGGATTACTGGATTAATTTAGAATATTGTACAAAACTACCATTCAATTTATATAAAATAAATATTGCATTTCTTTTATGTCTATTTCTATTATTATATAAAGTATATACCCTGTACACCAAAAGAACTTATTCTTGGTTCTTTAGGGATTTTTATGGGGGAAAAGGATTTGTATCTTTATATTATAATTTTAAGATTTTTTTTTTTATGTTTGATATCTTTTTCTTCTTTTTTTTCATTTATGATGTAAAAATGTATTACCTAAGAAAATAAATATGAGGTTCATGTGGTCTTCCTGTTATAGTCTGGTTATCATGAATGATTTTTAACTACATCTAGTTACTAGGCAACTTACAAGTGTTTACTGTTTGTTGCAAACAGAAATAAACCCTCACCTCTGCTACATTGTTGTGTTAATTTCCTTTAGGTACCAAATACATCAGCATCACTGTATTATGGCCATTTTTCACACTTGCATGGGTTAGCAGTGATTACCTGATGGTATGGTATCCCAGTTTCCACCAGGCAAATATGAAGTAAAATAAAGGAAGGACTTCCAGGTGCTCTCTTAGGTGGCAAGACACGGTTTCTACTTGAGGTAATCATAAGTGCTATGTACAGGGGTATTTACAATTCTTAGTCCAACCCACTCCTGTTGCTTACTACACATGTCTTGCATTACTCATCCTTTGAAGTTAAAGTACTCCTTAACTACTTGTGTACAGGAAGGTCCCTTCTGGTCCCTGAGGTATGCTAGAGATTATCAATTGATTGAAAATGTCCGAAGGAGGACCACCAGACTGGTGCCTGCTCTAGAGAGCCTCAGTTACCCAGAGAGATTGGAGCGCCTGCAACTACCTCGCTTATACTACAGACGGGCGAGGGGCGACCTAATTGAAGTGTGTAAACATATCAGGGGGCACTACTCGGTCGAATGTACATACCTGGAGCTGGCGGACGTCCGCCCCACAAGGGGTCACAGCTCAAGGTTGAAGAAGCCACAAGTCCAGAAAAGTGTGAGGGCAAATTTTTGGGGAGGGAAAATTGTGAACTCTTGGAACAATCTGCCCAAGAGCGTTGTGACAGCACCGAGTGTGAGCTCATTCAAGGCCAGACTTGACCAACACTGGAGCAGGTTCTGATATATTCAGGAGCCAGTGCATGTCCTGTATCTGCCAACAGTGCGTATGAGAGATGTGAACGACTGCCCAAGCGGCTAACGAGCCATCTGTGACTGAGGATAAAAGTAAGAGATGGATAAAATATTAAAAGTGGCATGACTGTAGTGAAAGGTTAAACCATCCCAGATAATGGTGGGAGGTTAGCAATACAGTCGAACTGGATCACCCAAAGTTTAACAAACCAAAAGCTAACCTAGTCAAAACTTCCCAGGTAGCATTAGGTGAAATAAGCTCGTGGTTAATCTTGAGGTGATCCATATAGTATATTTACTGTAAGTCGTATATTAACAAACATACCATTTGTCATTTTTTCCTCTCTGTCCAGTGTCCAGAACTTATATTTGTTGTTTTGCTCTTATTAAAGTATTTTCATAAACTCCTTTATTAAGTTGCCACCTGAATAATATTTTAAGACCTGGTTGTATGATGAATAAAGAACTTATAGAAATAGTATCTCCTCCAACTATTCCATGTGGCTCATTCTCCAAATCCTTCTCTAATACTAACTTATTTCACCTGAAGATTAACCACCCTAACGCTATCTGGGGGTTGAAGATTTGCGGGAGTTTATGGAAAGTTCCTAGTTGTTTCAGCCCATATTTGTTGCTTTCTAAACTTTCAAACATTCAGACATGTAAAGAAATATCTAGGTATTGCTTGTCATCTCAAAAGTTCATCTTCCTAATAATTTTGTACTGTCGCAAAAAAATATATATCAGTCCTTGGCATCACAAAAGTTTCTCCTTTTCTTGTCAATAATGTGACAAGTGCAGTAATAGTTGTACAGGGGGGAATAATTTAGTTTTTTGTTTTATCTTTCTTTTTCTTTCTATCGTATTAATTGTGTGTGTGTCAGAGGAGATATCTTTTCTTTCTATCGTATTAATTTTATATTTTTCTATGTCTTCTATTTCTCTTTTCTGTTATTTCAGTATATATTATATCTTCTAAATCACTTTATTTATGTGTTCTAACTTTAATATATTTTGTATGTTATTTCTATCTTATATAACCTTTAATTTTCTTAGTTGTATTATTTTATTTTCTATATTTTTCTAAGTCTTTGTTTCAATATTTTTATTAAATTATTTTCTGTATTTTACTTTGATTACGGTACTTGTTGTTTATTTCTTTCAATGTCAATATTTGTTTCTTGTCTTTTCCTCTTACTTCCTTTAGTATTTATGAACGCCCGGTAAGGAGATTAACCTGCCTCGTCAACTGATACAGTTTATTTCGGTCAAACCTGTCAAGTACAAATGCAGTAATCAATTTACAAGAGGGAAACTGAAGGTTCAGTGACATATCATATACCTAATATTAGCACAAGTAAGTACATTATCTTAATAGTAAACACAACATAAGCTGCATATCGTCAGGAGTTACTCAATTAATATTCTTCACGTCCACAATAAAACAATATTTTCACACTTAAGTGTTGCAGGCTTGGCTTGGACCAGACAGCCTCTGGTGTGTTCAGGGCGATCAGTTGTTGGGTACTGCCGTATGTTATCATCCAGGGGCCTGGCCCGCCTGGGTGAATGTCAAGCCAATTCAGCATATACACGCCTTGTTCCTCATTAAGACACGAGCTGACTCACCAGCATCTCGTCACTTGGTACATAACAACATTAATTCTTATCACTCCCCATAAATACTTTCACTACTCTTTTCACGCCTATGATTACCGCTTCCAGAGGTTAAAGTATTTTTCAGGGCTTAGTTATATTTTATTCAATGGAACAACCCCTACGCGGGCTAGGGTGCCGCTGGGGTAAGTCGAGAAAAATCAGCTTTACCAAAAGTTATTTTTAACCTTTTTAAATGATAAAACAATAACAAATAAGTAAGAAAAACTATATATTGACCCTCTCGAAACTTCCCTGGGGCCGCAGTGGCACGGGAGATAAGGGGACCGTGTTGTTTCAACGGCTAGCATTCGTGGTCACTACTCACTTACCGGCCTTTTTTTGCTTGTCTTTGTGTCCAGGATGGGCAGTAATGCATATAATTACTGATCATAATACTTATTTCCTATAAATAATTGATTTACAATATTTTATTGGCATTTTTCATAAAAAATGCTCGGCAACTCACACAGTCTGTTGCCAGGCTGTCTGGCTGTCTTTGTGTTTGGTAGAGCAGGTACTGCAATATAAATAATTATCGGAATAATAATTCCACAAAAACATACATTTATAACATAATCATAGCATTATTTTCCAGTAATGCTACACTACAATACAACTACACTACTTTTAGCATATTACTTTGATACAGCTTGATAAAATGGGCAAACACTGAAAATGAAACAAACAAAAGTAGGTAATTACATTCAGGAAGCTTCCCGGTGGCCGAGCGTGTGGCGTAACAGGCAAGTAGTCATGCTGGAACGTAATAACCTGCGCTGGGCATTCAAACAATGCCACAAAAAGGCGCATGTTCCAGAACGTCAACCAGGGCAAAGGAAAACCATGTCATTCTTAACAACACCTATGAGTATAATTATTAAACCTTCACGGTAGACTGCCACCATCCAGGCTTTTATTAGAATATAACTTGTATAATTAAGGTGTTAGGTAGCGTGGTAGATACAAGCTTAGGCACGTGAGTGAGTGTTTATTTTCTGAGAAGCAATTGTTAGAAGGAAAAGAGCGGCGATACTCACAATTTACTAATTCAATATTTATTAAAATCAATTATGTATAAGATGCCAATTTGAACATACTCAGTCATGAATGGACCACTAGGTCTTTCTTTAGAAGTAACAAAATAGTTCTTTGATTATTTGTTACAATATTCAACAACTGTTATATTATTTCCTTGATAATAAAGATGGTCACTTTACACGCTTGCTAACAGCACAGATATTAACACATTACTTATAATATCATGTTATCACTGAATGAATAACATGGAAACGTATAACCGGCCATATCAACTGTTATTATGGGCGATCTACTCCCATATACCCTGTATATACATATTTGGTCTGTAGGTAACACTGTTTAGACCAGTGGTTCTCAACCTTGTTTGCCCCATGCACCCCTTTCACCATATGTCAGAATGTCATTCCCCCCTCCTTTCCAAGATTGTCTGCCTCAAAAAGTGCATTCCAAATAATATGCATATAATACTGAAAATCCTTTATTTTTTCCATATTAGTATCAGTTTTCCCCCCCTGAAAACCTGAGGGGGGGAATTCCCCCCTGGTTGAGAACCCCTGGTTTAGACCAACCTGCTCTCACAGGAACATGTACCAGCATTTCAGTTGAGAGTAAACATTGAGGGTTTACTCACAATAAGAAAACAACTCTAAAACTGGTGTAGTGGACGTCTCCCCTACAAACTGCGTATCGCATTCCAATGTGCCGCCTCCCCTAGCAACCAAGCGAGAGCTGTCCCCAGATGTTACCGTATCTTAGCAACGAAACTAGTCACCGGCTACTTCTCGGGTTTTCCCAACATGACTCATAGAGGACTGGCGGCTGCTGCCGGGTGTATATAAGCTCTGTCTCTCCATTGAGATTCATTCTGCCCATTTTCCTGAACAAGCAACATCTCCTCCAGCAAGCTCCACGCTGTTAACATTTCATTCAACCAGGAGGCCAGCAACAGGCAACACCTTCTCTAACGAAGCTCCTGCACATCTACCTCCTTCAACACGATACTCACCGAACGTCTTCTACTGAGCTGCTCCCCACCACACGGCACCTCCAGCACCAGACTGTCTATCATATAACTTATATATATTATATAAGAAAACCACATTAGAGTTTCCTTCCATCCTGAGTGCTAGACAACATTAATATCTCGATACTGGTAATAACCAAAGACATGGTTTCCATACTCCACTGGGACAATTATATTTCTGCTAATTATCCCCAATCATATGCCAAAACACTATTTTGCACATATTATCAAGATTAGTTACACTAGGCTGACACCACTGGTGTTTACATTGTAGTGGACGTCTCCCCTACAACTGCGTAGCCGCATTCCAATGCCACAGTATCCTAGCAACCAAACGAGCGGCCCAGGGGGGGGGGCGTCACCAGATGCCACAGTATCCTAGCAACCAGCCATGTCTTCCCTAGCAACGGAGTCAAGAAACCGGCGACTTCCCACGGGTTTACTTCCAGCGGCTGTGTATATAAGCTCTGTCTCTCCATTGAGATTCATTCTACTCTACGTTCCCCAACACGCAACACCTCCTCTAAGC